GGGGGGAGAGGGGGGGAGAGGGGGGGGAAGGCATGAAAGTGTCAAGACTAGTGTGAAATAACATCATACCTTATTGGAGTTACCTGATTTTCCTCTAGTTCGGTTGCGTTCTCATGATGACATCTTGTCAAATAATAATAATATAGCAGTTTATAACCCTTTGAGATGTCACCACCTCCACTTTGGAATGATTTTATTTAACTTACCCTGGTTCCATAAAATTAAAGGTAGACATTTGCAGTCCACCTTAATGTTCATTATTTTTAATGCATATATATTGCATAAAATGTGTATATTTACAATCAACTTACCTTAAATACGGAAGCTACTCTGCTGGACGAATATCTGTCACTCTGCGAAGTCCCAGTGGAAGAGTACTGTTTAATTAATTCAGTGAGGGGAATGTGTCTCCCCCCACGTCTACTCTCTTCATGTCTACGAATTTCATTAAGTTTGCAAATCTTATTTCGTAGAGTGGAGCGGGGTATTCCATAGACACTGGCAGCCCGACGGGTCCCCAACTGACCAGAACAAATGGCCCGAACGGCAGAAGCCAACTCTGAAGCGGTATAGGGACGCCGACGAGGAGACGGCACCTTTTTGTTAACATAGTAACTAAAGGCTGTTGCTGGTTTTAAATGGGAAGTAAACAATGTCTGAATTAATTTAGTTGAAAAATATCTATTATAATTACTCTTACACTGAGACTATTCAAAAGAAATGTCCCATAGATTCACATCCATTACTTACACACTTTCTCCTCCATGAGACGACCTTGAAACCCAGGTTCTTCACAATTATGATGGATGCGTTTAAATGATTGCGTTTTATGGTCAGTGTCAACCTTTGTCGTTCTATAAAGCAAATTTTTCCCATATCATTTATGAATTATATTGTAATCGCTGTATTAAGAGGATAAGTATTTTCACTTTTAAAATTTTACATATTTACATATTTTGATCCGAATTCGAAGTCTTCTGCTCCTCAACGATAGTGTTCTCAACATCTATCAACGATGCAACATTTTCATTTCCACCGTGTGGCCTTGAAAAAATTCGATTATCCATTCTTCGGAGTTCTATGTTATGAACAGAGATTAGATAATATTTTTTCTTATTTCGAAATAGATTTTCATTGAATTAGTTGGTTTTGACATTTTAACAAGGCGAAGCGAGCAAATTACTTAAAATATTTTCTTACAACTTTGCAAGATTATCAAATGTGCGTGCTTTGATACTTTAGTCAATGCCTGCCTACAATTAACACCTTTACTGTAAGGTATTAATTATCAGAGTTGAAAATGAGGAAATTCACTGAAATTGGCACTGGGTTATCCGTTAGTTTCAACAACTTGAGGTGGAAATAAAACAAGTAAATGCGCTTTCAGTTCTCTTCTTCTAATCGGATCAGTTGAGCAATCTAATTTGATTCCTATCAAAACCAGTTTAAGAAGTTAGAATTTCGTCCTGAATAGGCTAAAAGTTAGGCAAAATATCATCTTTTCCTATATGCATCAAGCCCCTGGTATTTAACTCTACAAATGCTTATGCCCACTGCAATGACTTCAACTTTAATAGTACTTTTAATGCATTCATCATCTGTTGGATAAAGTAAATTACAATTTTGAAGGATGACATTGATTCAACAATGCACTTTTAAATATAATAAAGTCGCCCATACCGGCATCACTCCGAAGATAATTGGAAAGAACAGCAGGTGGTGGGACAGGAATGTAGTGTGTTGAACTGAGGAAAGGGAAAATGCAGCCTCCGGATTGCAATTTAGACTCATTCACACTATCTACGAGATGGAAAAAAATCGATAATCAAGGTGAGAATACTGCCCTTCAAGTAATTTTGGCACTAAAAGCTCAAAATCCTATCTTTTTTAAAGCAAGCAGTATATAAGGAAGGAAAAATGTCGTTTCTCTGAAAGCGCCCAGAGATTTGAAGCAATACTCAAGGACTGGCATGACCTTGTTACATTAAAAAATAAGCTCCTCCATCACCCAAATTGCGTTCTCACGGGGTCAGGCTCTAAACACCGTGCCCGGAATAGTTATGCCCTCCATGGGTGCTTTAATGGATGCTCCTTTTTACCCAGGTTCAGTTTTATTACTCCCCAAGAGTTTAGGCTTAATAGGATCAACAAACAATTTCCACATTTAAAAATCGTTTAATCGAGTTTAAAATTCTCCTCAAATGTCGTAGTTTCCAAAGCTTGATGTTTCTGATAGTAACTTTGATTAAAGCAGGTCAGATTGAAGCCGAGAATAATTGATGCTACATTTTGCTATTGAATTAAAGTAAAGAATCGCATCTAAAGTGTTTAAGGAAATATACCATTTTGTGACTTTTTTAAATATTCATTGCCCTAAAAAGTAACCCTTTAATTGAAATGTTTCGTTAAATATAAAGCAGCCTAAATGCTAATGCATCACACTAAACGCCTGGTGTTTATTGCCACAGCAACTAACTGCGCAAACAGCTGGGACCACAAAGAAGTCTCATGCACAGAAACTCGGGAATTTGGGATTGGACTGGGATAACAGGTGGGTTATAACACAGTTACCCGGTTCCCACTTCTTCTGAATGTTACAAAAGCCTAATTTGGACCTCAAAAGGAGTCACCCCTCATGTGCGACACCTTGTGTGTGTGAATGCTGCAAATTTCAAGCCATGGGGACACTAGGCTGTGTGGTTTGGGCGCTTCAAGACGCTGATTAACATCCACCTCATAAATACACACGGTCCCCCTTGTTGAATGCTAGTGTATTAAAGTGAATGTGTGTAAGTGCGCTTTCTCACTCAGGAATCACTTCAAAATCGTCTAAATTGGCTTTTATTTTCTTTCACCTTTTCTAATTTCTCACACAGAGAGAGAGAGGCTTTGGAAGAGTGCTGCGGGCTTGTAATTTCTCCTTCTCTCACACACAAAGTCGACATAAAAAATTTCATGATCCCTTGACTGGAAAGGATTGCCTCCAAAAATTATGCAAAAATTAAATCACGTTTGACAAGACCAATTGATGGAAAGCTTCCAGGAAATGAATTCCTCAAAATGCAATTAGTGAATGAATGCATTCCAGTTTGATTCGCTGAATTTGCTATACTTTTACCAGTCTCACCTACACATAACAAATTAATGAAAGTTGTATTAGCACCTATTTACTTTCATCAACAGGTCAATAAACTCCGCATATCGTGGATATGAACATCGCTCAGGCAATTTAGGAAAGTTGAGTTGGGCATAATTAATTGTTCTCAATAAGAGTGCGGATATTGGTTAATGCGTACGAATTGTCATGGACGATAATAATACTTGTAATAAAGGGTGTGCGATAGACTTACCTCCATGTGGTGCACCCTGGGCAACGTATGCTCCTACGGCAAAAAAGTCTATTAACTGGCAATCGACTTCTGAGTTCAAACTACCATCCCCCCACTGTATGTCGTATTCGACTAAACAGGGTACTCACCTCACCTTTTTTCTACCTTTGTGTCTGGCTCTTTACAGCTTTAAACACTCTTCTATTCCACCCCCCCCCACTCTCGACTTTCTTTCACTTTGATGTTCCTTCCCCTCTGTGAAGCCTGAAGTCAACTAAAGGGCTAATGATAACTATCAAAACGCCTGCCATTTGATATACATAAATACTTGTAATAATAGTGGCATACCAGAAATGACTTTCCGATTTCCTAAGAAGCTGTTTCAATAAGAGAGCATTTGTGCATCTTTACGTATTTTACACTATTTTTCTTAGATTTGAAGCAGCGCTTTACATTATTAGTGGGATCTGCTGGGTCCAATTGCTTAATTACACAGCTATTCCCTTATATTTTCTGGGATTGGGGGGGGGGGGGGGGGGGGGAGGTGGGTAAAATTGCCTTTCAACGTAGAAGGTGGAAGTGAAAAGTCTATTGTGAAAATGTAGCACACTTTATCAGAGTTCACTCATTCTTAACAGAGAATAAAAAAGACTTTCCTTTGTCAATCATTAAGGGAAATTAAACTGTTTTTATTTTTAATTGGAGAGGAAATCCAATTACTTTGTAGCTCTTCGAGGAGATGAGGAGTTAGAAAGAGCAAGGTGACTGTGTTAACTTATAAACATAAAACTCCATGATGTATTTTATGACTGGAAGCTGCAAAAATAAGTAAAATGTGCAATAAACTAGATAACTAAAAGATATGCAATAATTAGAATTTATCACATTACCAAAAACCAACGAAAATTCCTCACTTTAAGTGATAAATTATAAGCTCAATTTACAGATTCTTGCTTAGTCAATTTCTTTAATTGAAGCTTTGTGAAGTATAAAAGTACCACAAAAGATTTCTTATAAAATGTACTTGATAATAATTATATTTACATAGGTCCTACATATATCTTAATGGGCACTAAGACTCCACCTGCGTTATGAATTTAACTCGCTTTAAACAAATTGAGACTTTCACAGAAAGAAATCTAAATGAGATAAATGCAGGAATCAACCCTTGCTTATTTCAGTACAATTGTGATTTAGAAGTGTCGCCTTATTAAATGAGAACAGGAATGAAGTTAAGATATGCTAATTCATCAAGTTGCTGGCAACATCATAATGCATATTCATAGATTGCACAGAGCTAATGTAGTATTTCCACTCGCTATTACAATTTTGAGTCGAGTCTTTAGAAGCTAACATCCCTACCTCGAACGCGCTACCAACTTGACAATTGTATATCAGGTGCAATAATTAACAATGACTTACGGTGTTCAATTAATTCCCTACTTGTAAGTTGTTCAGTCACCAACTTTTGCAAAGTATGACCCTTCTACGTTGTTTGGAGATCTAGTTAGACCCACTAACTTGTTGCAATACTGCAGCTAACCAGTTAAGAAATACAAACACTGGCGCTTTAACCTTTGAAGTGTAGGACTCCCTTTACTTATAATAGAAGTGCGCTTTAAAAATAATTTCAAGCAGGGCCTCTTCAAAGAAAAGATCTCATATTCTTCTAAAGCAACAATTCAGAATCCTATCATGAAACTGTATTACTACACATGCACTTGTTCAAGTATTATTGGCATCTTTATAAATAAACGGGTATATCAGCATTAGTGCAATTATTCACATTCTACTCGAGTATTGAAGTTATTTAAAGCTTGAAGTTTCAATTTTTTCCAACAATAAAAGTTGATTTGGCATTACTGAAAGGATGCTTTAAACATAAAACTTATCAATGTTTCTTGAAAAATGTTGTGCGGTTCATAAACAAACAACATAGGTATTTTTACTTACTTTGTCTTTCTAGTATAATTCGATAAATTGCCACGTATTCGTTTAAAATTCGGTTCATTTGACCAGAGAATCCTTCCGGGGCTGGTTGCAGTTCCCCTGTTGAGTGAGATGCCTTCTCAGCCATCCTGTTAACCTATGTGACTTCCTCTTTTGGGATTCCTTGAAAATTCACATAGAGGAGGGGGTTAGGCAATTAACAAGTCAGGACCGTTTGCCCTGTCCACTTGCTTCTTTGCATCTGCTTCCATATGATTGGTCAGGATGGAAGTAAAAGCGCAGTTTGCAGTTTCGACCAATGGCATCAAAGTGAATGGACGAAGTTTTACCGAAATTTGGTCGAGGTTTTTCTCATAGTGCTTTAGTCCGAGAAGCCAATCCAAGTTAAGCAGAATGAGTGTTGCATTTTGTTCCCAATATTAAGCTAAATAAACATGCTTTGGTGAGGTTCAACTAGTTATTCTCAATTCGATATTACATCATTTCTACTGCTAATCTCATATCATTCGCAAATCCCAATGACTTCATTAATTTCTTTAATTAAATAGCAATTTTAATGACAGTCAGAAACTGAAGAAAATATGTTGTTTACTCAATTGATGGGCTTATCTATTTTAGAACTCTAACCATTTTTTTAGTTTGCAGTATATAACTTAAGATTTCTTTATTTGAGCTCAGCTGATTAGTAGCAATAAACCGATAATTTTTCGAAGAACTTTCTCAGCAAATAATATTATAATTAGCAATTATAAATGTACAATATTATTTGTGTCCAATTAATTTATTCTATCAGATATTTATAAACGAATATAGTTCGCTTTAAAATAAAAATTTAACTTTGCTTTAAAATCTTCAAATAGAGCATTAAATGGTAAGAAACGAAAAAAAGTAGGAAACTGAGATTGAAAGTAGAAATCGGTCTCACAAGTAATTTTACTAGTTACAAATACGAATCGACATAACCACAACCAAGTCAAACAACCCCACGATATAAGGAACACCCTCAATTTTTTCAATATAATAGACTGATTTGTTCTAAATTTAAAATTCCATCTTTTAGGCAATTTCATAAAGATTAAAGGGAATTAAATGAATCGAGAAGTGAAAGTAAAGAGCTTTAGTTGCAAGAATTATTTCGAGGAAATTTCACCTTATCTACTATAGAATAATAAGTTAAAATACAATTTTTTAAATATATGGAGCGCCAAATCCTACAAGAGTTATAATTTGTAAATTATACTGAAAAATTTCATTATATGTCCACTTATAATGGACAAATATCTCCATCCATGCGGTTTTTTACCGACGTTGAAAACTCTCTTAAATTCAATCAATTGCATAAATAAGTTTAATAAGTCAATGAGTTCGCTACTTAATCTTAATAGCTGTAAAGCGGTTTGTCATTATTTGAGAAAAAAATTAAACCATTAGAATAATGGCTAATTTCGAAAGATTTTGCGTTTCATTTTGTGAATATATTAACAGAATTTTTATTTCTTTGGGTCATGCCGAAAGTTCTAAAACTGTCCACACTTCTAATTGCAAAAGCATATTTGGTACGCTGATTCATCAGGTCTTATGGAAGATAATGAAGGATGGGACAATTGCAAAAATTTGAAAGCCGTGAATTAAATTCCTTTCAACATGGTCCATCCGGGTTAATTTGTGCTATGACTAATGTAGAACTAAATATCCGAAAATGACTCTTACCTGAAATAAATACATTTTGTAACATTTATAATTATGCCATTTGTTAAATGTCATTAAAGGTTTTGAGGTCATGGAATAATAACGTCTGATTAGTTGTCCAAGAAGAAAAGAAGTAACCTGCTATTAAACGGACTCAATAAATATTTTCAGGAAGATCGGCATTTGACAGCGGTTCAATTTGCATATCTGGAGTGCATGATCTGTGGGTTTTTTATTTGTAATAGGAAATAATTCATTGAAATCAGAAGTTATATATGCCAAATCTGACTGATTAGTATTAATGTTAGAGATCCGGTAAGTATACTCCAAACTTTTGGAACATACATGTTAAAGTAATAAAGTACCATAATAATTATGTTAAAATCTGTGGGTGTCAAATATTTATATATTCATACGTCATGTATATTTTTTTGGTCAACATTGAAAGCCATCAAATAAAAATTTCGCAACCTTTAATACTCGCAAACTAACTTATATTCAAAAGAAATGTAATAAAAGTGAACCAAACAGAGTCATCATCAAATTGAGTATCATCATCCCCACAGATATTTATCATTTCACTCAAATATTAGAAAAAAATTTTAAATTTACACTAAAATAGCCTTTATCTGATTAATATTATTAAAATTACTAAAGGCTCATATTTGTATTCGCTGTTTTGTTGCCACGTATTTTAAAATAAATGTCTTTTGCCTAAAGGTGTGATTATAGTAGTTAATCTTTAATTATTATTTTTTCAAAAGCTATCAGTTTAATATCCTCAATTTTATTTTAGTATTAGTGTATTTGGTGCTTTTTAACTGGAAGTATGAGTATTTAGTACTGACTGCATGGTGTTAGGTCTGCGCGCTTATTTTTAGATGGAAAGCCAACGTTCGAAGTTAGCTCCAAGTAAAAGCACAGTATACGTTTCAAATATTCCATTTTCTCTTACGAACAACGATCTTTTTAAGATACTGGAGAAATATGGTAAGATCGTCAAGTACGTTTTATTTAGGCAGGCTAATTTGTCTACCTTACTTTTTGATAATTAATTATTCATGTTTTTATTTTAATTTAGAGTAACTATCGTTAAAGATAAACAGAGTCGTAAGAGCAAGGGCGTCGCATTTGTTCTCTTCCTTCACATTGAAGATGCTCGAAAATGTGCCCAAACTCTAAACGGATCTGAGGTATACTGTCAATTTCAGGCTTCATACTTCCTTATCGGATTTATTCAAATTGAGATTTATTTTTGTTAGTTACTTGGTAGGACAGTCAAGGCTTCAATCGCCGTGGACAATGGCAGAGCGACTGAGTTCATTCGCCGAAGGGAATACCCCGACAAATCGCGTTGTTATGAATGCGGGGTGAGTTTTGCTATAAAATTTTCGATTGTTTTCAAGGATTTTAATGGCACGAAACTTATTCATGGCAGACTTACTTTTAGATATTCCCTTAAGTATCACGTTTATTTTCCCGAGGTTAGGCTTGTTTTTTGCTTTCTTTAGCTATTATTCTGAGTTATTTTTTAACTTGCGCCTGATACATTAACTTCCTGGCAATCACTTCCTCAAGTTCTTTCTTCAGTTATTGGCATTGATTATCGATTACTCATTTTGATGGTCAGTGTTGTATCACAATTTTAATTCCACTAAACGTTAATAAGCATTTACCCACTTCAGGAGGCTGGCCATTTAAGCTACGCGTGTCCTAGAAATCAGCTTGGAGCTCGTCCACGTCCTGTTAATAGTAAAAAGGCAGAAAAGAAATCTCGTCGACCTCAACTCTCCTCTAACTCCAGGTAAAATTATCCATTTCCTTTAACTCAAGCTCTCATCAATGTCTTGTGTCTATTTTTTCCATAAAATGCGAATCCCTTCTACATCCCGTTATTTAACAGTTTTGAGTGATTCACTAATAGGGTTTACTTTGATAGAATTTGAGCTCGCATTAATTGTTATCACTTTAATTCTGTTAGGTGTTACTTGGCTTATCATCGTATCAGCGTATAGTAAAGGCAAAATAAGCTAATTACCTGATAAAGTGCTCAATGTCCTCTGCTTTATGTATTCTGTGCCATTTGTATATCTCAACAGTGTAGATGGGCCGAAAGTTTTTTTCTCCTCTTTTACCATTGGGATTTGGAGTTCCTTTTTGTGTAACCTATAACCAGTTCTAACAAGTCGAATAGTGAATTGAGGTGTCGACACGACCATCTTATATTCGCGAACGTTTCGATCATTACATACCTAATTAGTTATATGATCTACACACATTTACAGACATATTTGTGACTTATTCCAGTGAAAATGATTGCTATCCACATCGTAGTAGGTTCTTCCCCATTCCTTCGACCACTGAGCTTAGTCTGAATTAGATTATATGAGCTTGTAGGTAATTTGTTTTCAGTTATGCTCTCGGCTTCTCAAACGCTGAAGTGCTTCTTTTTTCCAGGAAGAAATTCAGTACCATTGAAGGTAGAGAGGAGGCCACTTCATTAGATTCTGATTCAGAAATCGGTGTTACAGATGACGTTGACTCTTGGAGTGCAGCAGTTAACTACAGTAGTGCCTTCAATGTTCCATCTACTGGCCTTTCTCCCCCACGTAAATGCCGACGAATACGGCCGGACTCGTATTTCTCTGATGAAGAGAGTTTCGAAGATGATTGATTGCACTATTTTTTACATTTAGTTCTCTGTAAATATGTATGTATATATATAATTAGTATAAAATTTAATTTTGATATATTTTGCTTTAAAAATGTGTTTTTGTTTTTCCTGGACACCTTGTTTGAGTAGAGTTGCAGATTCCGATTACCTAGCCTTCCTTTCATAGTTTTAATTAATATGAAATCGACATTACTTAAAATTAAGTAGTAGCAATATTGCGAAACTAATCCTGCTGTGCTCATCATATATACCAAATGGCAGGCGTATTGATGGTTATCATTAGCCCTTTAGTTGACTTCAGGCTTCACAGAGAAGAAGGTACATCAATTTGAAAAAAGTCGAGAGGGAGAGGGGGAACAGAAGAGAGTTTCAAAGATGTAAAAGAAACAAGTAAAGGTAGAAAAAAGGTGAGGTGAGTACTGTGAAAGGGTCGAATATGACATACAATGGTGTCATGGTAGTTTGAAGTGAGAAGTCAACTGCCAGTTAATAGACGTAGTTTGAAGTCAGAAGTCAACTGCCGGTTGATAGACTTGTTAGTTTGAAGTGAGAAGTCAACTGCCAGTTAATAGACTTGTACCGTTAAAGTAAGATGAGTACTTTGAAAGGGGTCGAATATGACATACAGTGTGGGTGATGGATACTGTAAAAGTGGTAGAATACGGCATTCAGTGGGGTTAGTACTGTGGTAGGGGTCGAATATGACATACAGTGGGGTGGTGGCGTACTGTGGAAGGGGTCGAATATGACATACAGTGGGGTGAGCTACTGTGGAAATAGTCAGAAGTCAACTGCCGATTAATAGACTTTTTGATTTTCAGTCAGAAGTCAACTGCCGGTTTATAGACTTTTTTGCCGTTTGAGTAGTCAGAAGTCAACTGCCGGTTAATAGACTTTTTTGTGAAGTGAGAAGTCAACTGCCAGTTAATAGACCTTTTTGCGTTGAAGTCAGAAGTCAACTGCCGGTTAATAGAATTTTTTTGCCGATAGTTTGAAGTCAACTGCCGGTTTATAGACTTCGAATATGACATAGAGAAGTCAACTGCCAGTTAATAGATCATGGTAATTGAAGTCAGAAGTCAACTGCCGATTAATAGACTTGGGGTCATGATAGTTTGAACTCAGAAGTCAACTGCCAGTTAATAGACTTACTCATGGTAGTTTGAAGTCAACTGCCAGGTAATAGACTTTAGTTTGAAGTGAGAAGTCAACTGCCGATTGATAGACTTTTATTTGAAGTCAGAAGTCAACTGCCAGTTAATAGACCTTTTCAGTCAGAAGTCAACTGCCGGTTTATAGACTTTTTTGCCGTTTGAGTAGTCAGAAGTCAACTGCCGGTTAATAGACTTTTTTGTGAAGTGAGAAGTCAACTGCCAGTTAATAGACCTTTTTGCGTTGAAGTCAGAAGTCAACTGCCGGTTAATAGAATTTTTTTGCCGATAGTGAGAAGTCAACTGCCGGTTTATAGACTTTTTTGCCGCTTTGAAGTCAGAAGTCAACTGCCGAATAATAGACTTTTTTAGGGTAGTTTGAAGTGAGAAGTCAACTGCCAGTTAATATAACGAATATGACATAGAGAAGTCAACTGCCAGTTAATAGATCTGGTCATGGTAGTTTGAAGTCAGAAGTCAACTGCCGGTTTGTGTGAGTACTGTGAAAATGATCGAATATGACATGGAGTCAGCGAGTACTGTGGAAGTAGTCGAATATGACATACAGTGGGGCGAGTGCTGTTGAAGGGGTTGAATATGACAAGCAGTCGGGCTGATTGGTAGTTTGAAGTGAGAAGTCAACTGCCGGTTGATAGACGTAGTTTGAAGTCAGAAGTCAACTGCCGGTTGATAGACTTGATGGTAATTGAAGTCAGAAGTCAACTGCCGATTAATAGACTTGTCATGGTAGTTTGAAGTCAACTGCCAGTTAATAGACTTTTTTGCCGTATGAGTATACGTTGCCCAGGGTGCACCACGTGGATGTAAGTCTATCACACACCCCTGCTGTGCTCATCATTATTATAAAAATAAATGAAATTCTTCGTCGTCTCCTTTGCCTAAATAAAAATTAAAGGAATGTATGCAGACAGGCATTCATTAAGGTATATCGCACCGGCTCAATTGGTCCTGATTATTGCTTGTTAGAGTCGGACTGACAAGTGTAAAAAATAGTCACCTTTTTCGTCTAGAATTCAGATTTCTTCCAAGTTTGCGCTGGCAATAGAACATCACCACTCAGTAATTCTGGCAAAGATTTGGTGGCGAACAAGATTACCTTGTGAATTTAAGCTAAGAAATGCCTTTCTACCTTCAGTTATGCCAAGTAGTGAATGATAAGGAGCTGTGAATTCAGTCACTCGCTTACCGTCCCTCGCGCACTGTTAATCTACTTGAAATAATTCCTAATTCACGATTCTTTACTCATTAAGAATAAATTGCGAAAGTCGAGTAACATTCGGTGGGGATACTCCGTGTTAATCTTTTAACATTAATCAGTGCCATTGGTCACTCAAGTGAACTTGAATCTCATGCCCTAAAAAAATACCTTGATCCGATGAATTGACGCCAACATTTATGGAAGATGTTAAATGAGTTGGTTAGTAATTAGTCGTCATTAGCGCTCTAGAGCCACGAAACTAAACTAGCGTTAGGAAACAGAAGCGATCATTTCGCCACATGCTACATCTAAAGGACAAACAGAACACTATTATTGATTATAAATTTTCGCCGTTTATGTCTAGGCCTAGCATTGTACTGCGCGTCGCAATTAGACGGGTATTGTCCATCAAGGAAATCAATAATTGTAAACCTTAAAGTAGCACTTACGTTGACGGTTGATGAATGATCTACACTATAGCTACTGGGTGGGGGGGGGGGGGGGGT